AAGCCAAGGTTCAGCGCTCCCTCTTTGGCGCTCAGAGCCGACGGCAGAAACCCCAGCGACCCGATGCGGTAGTTGAACGAAACGCAAACCATCGGCGCCGCCGAATGGCCGACAAACGACGTCGTGTTGTGCATAGAGGCGGAAGCCCGGTTGAAGGCACCTCCATGAATGTAGATCGCAACGGGCAGCTTCGTCTTTCCCTCTCTCGCCGCCTCAGCCTGTCGGAACACGTGGCAGTCAGCGAGTCCTCGCTCTGCTCGAGCTTTGGGCCGAGGATGATCAGCTGCTTGGCATACTGGCGCGGCCCGAACTGTGAGGCGTCGATGACGGTGTCTGGCGATGCGTCCGGGACGTGGACGGGCGGGCGGAAGCGCCTGTTGCCGGTGGGCGGAAGGCAGTATGGGATGCCGAGGAAGGCCTCGACGGCGTGCGGGTAGTCGCCGTCGCGCACGACGCCGAGGACAGTACCTTGGCGGATCGTGACGGCGGGGCGGCGGAGGCGGTCGTAGTCGTGCTCGGCGCTCACATTGCTCGTTTTCTTCGCTATCTGTGCTGTCTCGCTGTCTCGCTCGCTTGTTCGTGTTGCTAGCTTGTGGCTCACGTCAGCAAGCTTTTGCCTACCAGAGAGAGACAAACGCGGCTGCGTTGCCGCGAACACCGCCCCTGGAAGATGCGGTAAACCGTCCAATTTATTAAACAACCAAATTCACTCTATCACCCAAGCGTTGTCACCAACAGAGCTCCCCACGGCCTCTTGCGCTTTCAATGTCACTACCATAGCACAACTAATTTTCAGCACTGTGCCGTCAGCCCGCTTTGCGGACTTTTGCACCCCTCTTTTGCTTACAATTCCATCCCTGACCGGCTCTGGCAACTTCACACTGAACGTGAAGCTCTTCACAGCCTGCTCCTGGTCGATTGGTGGGAACATCCGGAGGAGCATTCGGGACCTGGGATGGGACAGCAGGTCTTCTGGGGCAACAGATGGGTCGATCCAATACTTTGCGTCATTGGCCTTTGACTGGAAACGAACACGAAGGTGTGTCCCTCGCACGACCTCAACATTGCAATCGTAGTCAAACAGCCAACTGATCAGAACAACAAGGCGGCGCTCATTGTTGTCTGTTGAGTAGGATCTGATCTGGCAGAGTTCTGCGAAACTGGGAACCTCAACCACTGATTCGTCTGACTCGACTGATGGCGATCGCTCATCGACGCAGCTTCGCTTACTGGGTGGATGGGGAACGTTTTCTTTCCCGACTGCTTGCCGAAGGGCAGGAGTTGGTGTGAGCAGTCGAGGGGTAGTGTTGATCGAGCGACCCTTGGTGCCTTTTAAAGCGAGAGAAAGGGTGAGACGCTCATCACGAACCAGAGTGTTCAGCCAAACGTTGGGGAAATTTTCATGGGGACACGGGGATAATGAGACTGCAGGCAGCGGAACGGTCAGAAAGGGAAGCGACTGCCAGGTCATTTGAGATTGCCAGTCCGCACCTATCGCAAACTGAGTGATGATCATATCATACCTGTCGCTCCAGACACTTTTGCAGCGAGCGTTTGCGGGGAGAACTTCGCGAGTTTGCCAGGTGTGTCCTCTTTCAGCACATCAGACGACTTGAGCTTGCCCAACGGCCCCTTGTGCGCCGACACAATCTTCAAGAGCAGGAGCAAATGTGAAGATGCGGTAAATCCGAGTTTGCCAACGCCATACAAGCTGAAAGGCTGAGTACAGTTGTGGTGTTACGCGGTTTTATCCGCTCTTCTTGGCAAACAAGTGTCTCATATTTAAGCGTGGCAGTGGACAGCACGACGACTGTTTACTCGTCACCTCGAAGCGGCATGTCAACTCAAAGCAATGAAAACGAGCACGATCGCGTCAACACCATTCAGGTGTTTATCACTCTCGCCTCCGCCATAATGAAAACTCCAGCTGAGGGAGCAGACACGCCCACCTGGGAGCGAAAGTTCAAATCCCACTTTGCTGCCACGTTGAACGCCTGTGTCGACATTTGGGAAGACATTTGGGTTCGGTGCACTGAAAATGGAATTCGCCACTTTCACCTCTTGTGGGCTCTATACCACCTGAAAGTCTACAGTACAGAATCAGTTGCGGCTGGTACTTTTGGTACGACAGAAAAGACTTACCGACGCTGGGTCTCAATTGTTGTGAAACTGATCGCAACTATGGATGTGGTACGGCCAGTTCCTTGCGATTTTGAAGAAACGATTTTGTTTGACCTGACTCACAGATCCATCTCGAGGACCGATGGGATGACTGGAACATGTGGGGCCCGACCTGCTATGTAGATGGAATCGACTGCAAGGTCTGGGAGCGTCGACCCATCAGCAAGAGCGATTTCAGCCACAAATTCAAACGTGCTGGCATCCGTTATGAAGTTGCTACCGCATTTGGTGTCTCAAAAATTGTACACGTTGGTGGCGGAGTTCCTTGTGGCGACTGGCCAGACCTGAAGCTGGCTCGCCACTCTCTTTTGCCCAGGTTGGCACCGGATGAGTGCGTTGCTGGCGATAAGGGGTACCGTGAGGAGGGCGGGAATGGTCGCTTCTGGACCCCCATTGACAACCCCGATTGTAACAAAGAATTTGATTTCCACAACAAGCTCCTTCGACGCATGGGGGCGCGTCATGAGACCGTCAATAAGCGACTGAAGGATTTTGGCGTTCTTGCTCAGTGTTTTCGAGGTGACAGGAGCAAGCACCCTGATTGTTTTTTTGCTTGCGCTTGCATCACTCAAATTAACCTTTGTTATGAGCCCCTGTTTGACTTGGCTTGAAATCGCTCAATAAAGATTTTTTTTCCGCTTTACCGCATCTTCCTGTGCGGGAATGCCTGGAGTGATTGCAGCCTCTGCTACGGCTATCGGCATCACGCGATCTCTGCGAGTTTTGTTCCCTCCAAAGAACTGACCCCTCGACCAGATAAGAGAAATTCACATAAAATATTCCCGGCCTGAACCGCACCGGTGATTATTCCAAAGCTCAATCCCCCCCCCTCTCGGCAGACAGAAACTGAACTTCACTCTTGGCATGGCCGAAACCAGCGACTCCAAGCTGGCCACTGACACGGCCGCCAAGGCGTCCGACGGCGCCTCCATCCTCGCATCCAACGACGACAGCGCGACCGTCGACGACAAGCTGGACGAGGCCGAGATCTTCCTGCGCCAGCACAACCTGTCCCCAGTACGTCCAGCAGCTGGTCGCCGACGATGATGCCCTCAAGAAGCTGCTCCGCCGCATCGACATGACTGTGTTGCCCCTCCTCTGCGTCACATACATGCTGCAGTACGTCGACAAGCAGGCGCTGTCCTACGCGGCCGTGTTTGACCTGTTCACCGACGCCCACATCAACGGAACGCAGTACAGTTGGTTCCCGAGCATCTTTTACTTGGCGTATCTCCTCGCAGAGTACCCGTGGAGCTACTTGGCGCAAAAGACTCAGCTCGCCAAAGTCGCTGGCGTCTGCATCATGATGTGGGGAAGCGTGTTAATGTTGACGGCCGCGAGCCACGACTTTATCGGCATGGCCGTGTGCCGCTTTCTCCTCGGCGTGTTTGAGGCCCCGATCACCACTGTCTTTGTTATGATTGTGGCCCAATGGTAAGAATCTTATTTTTGTCGCCTTCGCGTGATCATGAAACCCTTCGAGGAAATTTCAAAACGTCTGTCTCCAGGTACACGCGTCAAGAGCAACCCTTCCGCGCCGGTGCATTCTACAGCTGCAACGGGCTTGGATCGATGGTTGGAGGAATACTCACGTACGGCATCGGCCAGATCGGCGGCAGCTTCCCGGTGTGGAAGTCTATCTTCCTCATGCTTGGCGGTGTTACCGCGTTATGGGGAATCGTCATCGTTTTGTTCCTACCCGACAGCATCATCTCCGCCCGCCGCTTCTCTGTCGATGAAAAAGCGGCTCTCATTGGCCGAGCTCGTCTCGCCCGCACGGTAGTCATCAGCCACAAAATCCGACTGTACCAAATCTGGGAGGCCCTACTCGACCGCAAATCCACCTGCTCTTTCACTTCATGCTCCTCAACGCCACCATCAACGGCGGCGTCGCCAACTTTGGCAAGCTCAACATCAAGGGCGTCGTCTCGGACCCGTTCAAGACGGTCCTCCTCGGCATCCCACAGGGCGCCTTCTCCGTCTTTTGGATCCTGTCGGGGACTTTTCTCGCCTCGCGCTTCAAAAACGTGAATACCTTGGTCATGCCGCTGTACCTGGTTCCAACCGTCGTCAGCGTCCTGATGATGTGGCTGATGGACCGCAAGACCCAGGCCGTCGGAGTACTGTTCGGGTACTACCTGTGCGGCTCGTTTGTCACCTCGCTCGTCCTCTGCATGCAAATGCGAGCGATGAACCTCGGCGGGTACACGAAGCGCATGACGGGCACCGCTGCGGTCTTTTTGGCAATTTGCGTTGGAAACATTGTCGGCCCTCACGCGTTCTTGGACGAAGAGGCGCCAACCTACGCGACGGGTTGCAAGGTGATCTTGGGCTGCTGCGCCGGTCAGCTTGTTGTGGCCATGATGCTGAGGTGGCTGCTGATTTCGCGGAACAAGCAGAGGGACGCGATGGCGGAGGATAGCGTGTCGGCAACCGCTAAAATGGGCGAAATCGACGCGGCGGTTGTGGAGGTCACAGATCAGACGGATTTCGAAAACCCCAAATTTAGATACGTGCTCTGAAGAACGGCAGTTTCATGACTTCCAGTCATAAAAATTGTCAGTGTTCATACCTCATGATACTTGCTTTGTGTGGAACTTCGAAAACTCATTTGCCTCCAAATAAACGAGAATTTCAAAAATTTTTCTGGTTGCAGATGAAAGGTCAGTCTGATGCAGTTGCAGTCATGGCCGCCTAATTGCGAGCTACGTGGTACGCTCGCTATCCAGATTTGAAACGGGGTCTGTCAAAAAAAATTAGGTTGCTAAAAGGATTTGACGGAGGTATGAGTGAAAATCGGCTACAGGTTTAATGCAGAACGCCCCTGCGACGATTTGAACGCCGATCTTCGCCGAGAGTTTTTCAAGATTTGGAAAGGTGTGCGATGTCCTAGCCATTGGACGACAGGGGCTGAAGTAATATTTTGGTGGTGCAATTTCAGGAGAGGCGCAGCCATCTCGGAAGAAATTCTTCCCAAATGTCTGTCCAGGTCCTTTTTTAAAACCCCAGAGCAAACACGGTTGCCGGGACGAAAGGCGGATTCGAAAAGCGAAGTGGTCCACATTTCTGGCAAATATTTCCAAAGCATCTCAAAGAAGCATCCCCGGAGAAAGGAAAGTCACAAAATGGATGAAAGTTGACCGATGGAAAGCCAAGCAACAATGGTCAGCCCACACTCCCAGTCACATCGGGGACCGATAAAGTCCATCGCGTCTCGAATCATCTGCAAGTAACCATTCCAACCCTCCTCTGGGCCCGGCCCCCACTCGTCCTTGATTTTCGTCACAACATCAACTGGCAAAGTTGGGTTCCTGAGAGGTACGTCAGCCAGCAGCTCTTCATCTATCGCGCGGAAGTCGTCGACCTTGAGCGGAGGCAGGCCAAGAACAATCCTTGTTCGAAGGATGTCAAAGTGCACATTCTTGGAAATAAACGGATCAAAGACTCGCAGCAGATTCACAGCGGTGATGTACGGCTTCTTGATCTTGATGCGCGAGCTGTTCAGAAGCCGAACTAGAACCTGCGAGTCTTCGCCGCGGCCGCAGGCAATATGGCAGCAGGGAACCTCGGCGAGGTGCCTGCTCGTGGGACCTGCGGGGTTTTTCGGATGCAGTCGATGGGTTTCAGCTAGCCTCTGCAGTGCGTGAGCCGAGGCGGTCACCGCGAGAATCTGGTTCACGGCCAGGTCGACGGGTACAGTGTCGAGCCCCACGTTCGGCCCGATCAGCTGCTCCTTGCTGCCGACGACGTGCGCGGCGATCGCGGCGCAGACGGGGCTCGACGGATGCCCGGCGCCCCACGCTTTCCGCGGAAACCGGACGGCGGGACCGAGGGTTGCGAGCCGGACGATGCGACACGTCTTGCCGTGCAGGTTGCGGCCGACTTGCGGAGGGAAGAGATTGTTGACGAATGACTCGGCGTACGTCTTTGCCTCGAAGTACGTGTTTGCGTGCTTGCTGTGCGCGTCGATTCGAGAGCCGCAACCGTCAGGCGTCAGGGTTTCTGTGATGAGGGAGCCGTCGGGGAAGTACCATCCGATGAAAGTGGTTGACACGTGGATGTGTGTCTTGACACTGCTGGTGAGGAGGGAAAAACGTCCTACCGAGCAGGCGAGATCGGTCTGGTGGAAGTGTCACTTTTCCGATGGCCTCAAAACGCGGACACGCGGAAGGTGTATGTACAGTTGAGAGGCTTCACTTACAATGACTTCGAAGGCCTTAGAAAACGGAAGAGTGAATCGATTGTTGCCGGCACAGTGCAGGACGATCTCGGCCTTGCAGGCTTCTTCGAAATCACGCACTTCGAGGCCAAAATTTGGACGCGTGCAGTCGCCGTTCAGAACGAGCAGCTTCGGGATCGCTCCTTCGCCTCTGGGCTGCGCGTGGTGCCGAAGAGCGATTCGGGTCATCTGCGTGAGAGTGGCTGTCTTCTTGCAATGGTGCCGCCATTCGAGATTCATTGACGAGTGTTTGCTCGGCTTCCCGTCGGCGCACGCGGCTAAACCCCATTGGTTTCGTCAGCCCATTCGCATCAAAGTATCTACTATCGTTCTTTCCACTTTCCGTGAATTCCGATTGCATGCAACGAGACATTTGGTGTTCCACAGCGCCTCCACGAGGTCTCCGCCCCATTCTGTCTTCCACCTTGAGGGCCGAAATCGTGGGGCAGAAGCAATAGCAGCGGCAGCCCGATGAGGAGCGGAAGACAACCATAGGTAATACACGGACGGGAGCGTGGTTCTTATCAGAGGTACGATCCTGGTACATGCATGACCTAAACCGCAAGTACTTGAACGGGAAGAGCGAGAAATCGATCCAAACTTCCTTCAAGTGTTGAGGTTACCGTAATGACCGAAGTATGAGGTTGGAGTCGTTAAAGCAACGAGATGTTGACCAGTAGCCGAGTTTATTTAGAAGAAATACTTCTTAATTCTCATATTATTGATGTCCTATTTGTTCATGTTGGCCTGACGCGTCCTTCAGTCCAGAACAAGAATCCGAGCATATCTCATCTCTTATGTTCTAAGCCACGAACGCTGGAATTGCTCTTAATCCGCGGAGCAGTGCTTAGCAACTCTTACTTCCCCTTAACTGCATCCACCTGCGTGGGACTGGCTTACGCCTGATGCAGGGAGCAGACGGCATAGCCGTTGCTTTCTCATGAAGAACCTTGGCGTCCTGGAGTTCCAAGTGAAGCACTAAGCACGCTGTGGAGGGTTTATCAACATCAAGCTTTCGTTGAGAGTATGCCGGCAAGGGTGAGAGCTGTCATCAAGAACGATGGAGGAAACAAAAGAAATTGAGAGCGTTTTCGATTGATGTAATCATCTTGAGATGATGTGCAGTGTGAATGCATAAAGGACTTCAAAGTGAACTTTTTTATAGTTGCATTGCATTTTCCGCGAAATCATTTGTCAGCCCACTGTGGCACTCAAGAAGAGCAGCTATTCTGCGGCGGCATCTTCACCAGTTTCACCGGTATGGGCTCTATTGTTGGTGGTCTCCTCACCTTTGGCATCGGGCACATCCGTGGGCCCTTACCAGCCTGGAAGTCCATCAACCTCATGCTAGAGGCCATCACTGTCCTCTGGCGCATCATCCTCTTCCGTCCCGACAGAGTCATTGCAACCCAACGCTTCTCCATCGACGAGAAGGCGACCCTCACTGGCTACACCCGCCTAGGCCGTACCGGCGTGCTGAGCCACCGCATCCGAGCGTAGTACCAGAACTGGGAGGCGCTGCTGGACCAGCAGATCCACTTGCTCTTCTCTTCATGCTCCTCAACGCCACCATCAACGGCGGCATCTCCAACTTTGGCAAACTCATTATCAAGGGCGTCGTCTCGGACCCGCTGAAGACCGTGCTGCTCGGACTGCCCTTCGGTGTGGTTGGGAGCGTCTGGATCCTGACGGGCTCTTACACCGCGTATTGTTTCAAAAATGTCAACACGATTATCATGCCGCTCTACCTGATCCCGACAGTCATCGACACCCTCAAGATGTGGCTGGTGGACCGCAAGTCGCACTGCGGGGGTCCTGTTTGGTAACTACATCTGCACCGGATACGTCACGTCTCTCGTTCTCACCCTCCAGATGCCGGCTGCCAACCTCGCCGGCTACACGAAGCGGATGAAGGGACCGCTGCTGTGTTTTTGGCGGCATGTGTTGGCAACATCGTCAGCCCGCACGCGTTCTTGGCCGAAGAAGCTTCGACGTACCCTACCGGGTGCAAGGTCATCTTGTGGTGCTGCGCCGGGCAGGTGGTTCTTGCGATGCTGCTGAGGTGGCTGACCTGAACCAGCAGATGGATGCAAAGGCAAACGAGAATAAGTCGGAAGGTTTTCTCGGCTGATTCGGCCCGTTGGTTCTGACGGACTTTGAAAACTTCAACTTCAGATATGTTTTGTAATCTTTTGACTTTTTTTTGTAACATTGTCGTGCCTCTCAGATATGAATATTCCACAACCTCTTTCGCTCACTTTTCCTTTGTGTTTGCAAAGTTTCGGTATCAAAAAACGACTCACGACAGTCCAATTGTCCTTGGATTGTCGGACGAAATGGGATGTCCGAGATAAGCCATGTCAAACAAGCGACAGATCGAAGTTGTCGATCTCACGGCGCCCAGCGACGAAGACGAGACCGCAACGTCGGTCGATCGTCCGCCCAAACGGCACGCCTGGTCGACCGATCAAGATGCGGCGACGGTATTGTTAGCACCAAGCCAACCACCAACCTCGACTCAGATTCCGTCAGGCATCCGGCTCACCCGCATTGCGCCGCTGGACGCAATCGACGATGCCACCGGCAACGCCGAGACGGTGGACTTGTCGGAGCTGATAAACGAGCCGTGGCGACTGATGTACCAGTTCAACTATAAGTTTGATCCAGAGTGGTTCTTTGGGCATCTCGACGACGCGATGCTTGGAAGGGAGATTGTTTTCGTCGTGCACTATCAGCCAGAGTTGAAAGCGGTCAGCGCCACATTTCATTGCGGATAATAATTGACGTTTCTTGCCAGTGGAGCCAGAGCAAAGACTGTCCGGCCAATATCAAGCTCGTCTTTCCTCGCGTCGAGATGTTCGGAACCCACCACACAAAAATGATGATCTTTTTTTACGAGGACGATACTGCTCGCGTTGTGATCCACACTGCGAACCTAGTCCAAACAGATTGGGGGTGAGTCGATGAACTTTCCCGCTTTTGCGAACCTGACCGATTAAGAGTGGTCAGAAAAAAGACTCAAGGGGCATGGATATCAACTCAGTTGCGCAAATTGGAGCCAAATCGAGTGTAGGTAATCGATTTGTTCGTGGTATCGCCTGCTAAACGCGCTCCATACCAGGCCAGGTCGAAATCCATCCTTCGGCCCCGACCTCCTCGGCTACCTCTCCGCCTACGGCCGCGAGCTCGAGCCTCTCCGCGCTCTCCTCGCAACTTACGACATGACCCACGAGACCGGCGCCATCGTCGGATCAGTCCCCGGCCGCCACCGCCGCGACGCCGGCGCCCTCAACTCCTTCGGACACCTCCGCCTCGGCCACCTCCTCGCCACCCGCGTCCCTCCCCTCGCGGCCGGCAGCGGGTCCGAGTCGCTCGTGCTCCAGTTTCGAGCGTCGGAGGCGGACTGTCGGAAAAGTGGATGATGCAGGAGTTCCGCGGGTCGCTGCTAAAGTGCAAGAAGGACAGATCGAGCGATGCGAGGGCGCTCCAGCAGGTGGGGACTTGCGTTGTGTACCCGACGGTCGAGGAGGTAAGGGACTCGAACCAGGGATGGAGGGGCGGCGGGAGCATCCCGTTCAACGACAAGACGTGGGTGAAGCAGCAAAGTTGGTTTCGAAGGTTACTTCATCGATGGGAGGCGACGAAAGCTGGGCGGAGCAGGGCTATGCCGCACATCAAGGTAAATGAGTGGA